TCCTCATTCTCTTCTCCTCCTCCTCCTCCTCCTCCTCCTCCTCCTCCTCCTCCTCCTCCTCGTCCTCGCCTCGTCCTTATCCTCCTCCTCCTCCTCCTCCTCCTCCATATCTTTGTTCTCCGGCCCCCTCTTCGGCTTCTCTGCCTCGAGACAACCAAAGGCCGCCCGCCCCGAAACGTTTCCAGCACGCCCCAAGCACATCCAGAGACGCCCGCACAAGCTCCCAGAGAATCCAGATGAGATACACCCTCGATGCCACCAGGAGCTCCGAGAAGAGTCCAGGATACGTCCAACACACTTCACAGCCTAAAATATGACATGTCTATGCCTTTGCAGCCGAAGCTCTTCGTCGTCGGATCGCCTCGGGCAGGGGACGCAGCTCCCCGAAGCAAGCGCCGAGGACGGGACCGGGCCACCCCAAAAGAGAGAGAGCCCGACGCGGGCCCCCGAGGACCGCCCGGGGCAGCCCAGGTCGCGCCCAAGGCGGCCACGAGAGCCCAGCGAGCCCCACACAGCGGCGGCGAGCGACGGAGGGGGGAAGCGAGAAGTCCCCCGGCCCTCTGAGAAGTTGTCCAGGCCTTCCCCGAAGACAGGGACAACTCGTCAGAGGGCGCGAGGGCTTCTGAGAAGTCCCGCCGCCTTCTGAGACGGCTTTCTCCGTCTCACTTCCCCCCCTCGCCCACCACCGAAAACACGTTGCGGACAAGGGAACCGATTTCAAAACCCCGCGCTAAAACAGACAGGGCGCTGAACTGAAACGGGAATCGGAATCTTACGTTCTGCTGCGCTGCTGCGCAAGCGCGGTGCCCGTTTGCCGCAGGCAGCCCGATGGATGGCAGACAACGTGCACATGTGCGTGATGTTCTGAACAAGGCAGCGCATCTCTGAATTCGTGCACCCTCAGGCTTGTGTCAACTACTGTAGGAGGGTGTCAAAAAGTGGCTTCAAGCCAACACTGGCAACAGGTCGCAGATTCACAAGGCAATCGTCTACTATCTGATCCCTTAGGCGCTCATGCTAGCGCAACTGCCATGGCAGCCTTGCTCTGCAAGCGTACGGCCTCTCCTGCTGAGATGCCAAGCGCAGTCGGAAGTCCCAACGGAGATTCTCGTGTAACACTGGCGAAGATGACGCAGGCCGCGAGGTAGGTGCCCAAGGCGGAAGGATGAGTGGCATCGGGGTCGTAGAGCCGGTAGAAAAGATTGTAGTCCTCGTCGTGGATCAGTTGGAAGGCCTTGCCTACAGGCGCAACGATGGGCTTACGGTCGGAGGTCGTGATCAAGGATGCATAGTGCTTGTAGCCCTGCTGCACCGCCTCGCTCATGGCTTCGAAAGATGAAAAATAAGGCTTCCGGGTCAGGCTGTCACGGCGTCCCCAAGTCTGGTATAGAACAGTGACAGCACCCGCTGCTTTTACCACTGCATCAAGTTGAACTAATGCCTTCGCTGACGCATCAAAGTCTGGATCAACATACCTCGGGCTCGTGTAGCAACACAAGCTGGGTACGTGAGACTGGTCTTGAAGGACGACGAAATCGAAAGCGCTGCTGCCCACCAAGGCAGCATGGTGATTGGTACCCGAAGCTGTAACTTGCTGCAGGTGGTATTGCCAGTTCGATCCTCCCTTGGTTAGCGCCCGCACGCGCGGTGCATTGCCGAACGAAATGGCGAACGTCCGCAAAACACCATCCACTCCCCCATTGTAGTACGTGTAGGAATTGCCCAGCATCAGAATTGAAGGTGCATTCGCTGGTGAGGGGAGTGGGCTGACACCCGGGCACGAGCGAGGCCCTGCGAAATCATCGCAGGAGGCCTTGCAGCAATAGTCCCCGTCTCCACACGACATCTCGTTGCACATTACTGGCTTGTCTCTCGGGCACTTTGCGCGGCCGCCGTGTGCCGAGCAGCAAGACCAACTGCTCGGGCCGTCGCACCTCGTGCCGTCCATGCACTCCAGCATGCCATCCTCGCCAGAGGTGCTGCTCCATGGGCATGGCCCCGGTGGCGGCACAGTCGTGGACGCCACCGGTGCTCCAATAGGAGATGGTGGCGGCGACGGCTGTGACAGTGTATCTGGGCAGGAGCGAGGTCCTGCGAAATCGTCGCAGGAGGTCTTGCAGCAATAGTCCCTGTCTCCACACGACATCTCGTTACACATCACTGGCTTGTCTCTCGGGCACTTTGCGCGGCCGCCGTGTGCCGAGCAGCAAGACCAATTGCTCGGGCCGTCGCACCTCGTGCCGTCCATGCACTCCAGCATGCCATCCTCGCCAGAAGTGCTGCTCCATGGACATTCGGTGAGAGAACTTGCTTCTGTCGATTGTGGCATGGCATCTGAGCACAAGCGAGGTCCTCCGAAGTCGTCGCAGTTCGTTTTGCAGCAATAGTCCCCGTCTGCACAAGACCTGTCATTGCACATTAGCGGCAAATCTTGCGGGCACTTTGCACGGCCACCGTGCGCTGCACAACAAGACCAATTGCTCCAGCCACTGCAGACTGCTCCATCAATGCATTGCAGCTGGCCGCCAATGCCTGTGTTAGTTCTCCACGGGCAAGTCTCAAGTGAGGCAGCCTCCGAAGGTACGAGCAAACTCTGGCACGATATCCGCTTCTGCAAGAGTACAGATTCGTTGGCCTTCTCAGCCATTTGTTTTGCCTCAACCCGTAGCGAGAGGAACTGGACTGCGGCGAAAAGGGTACGAGCATGCGAATGCGCCATTCCGGGCAGGTCAACGCGTGCGACTCCAGCACAACCACCAACGTGACCCTTCAACTTCACTGAGCACTTGAGCCTACGCAAACACAAACACATATATATATATATATATGTATAAATAAATATATATATATATATATATATATATACATCTACATGTGTACACGTCGGTCGGAAGAAGTAGGTAAAACCATGAAGTAGGAAGGCGGATTAAGTTGGTTGGGTCCAGGCCCCCCAGGGAATAACACACCACGGCAACAGCGTGTCGATCCTTGAAGCAGGAGGGCGCTTGAAGTGGATTGGGATCTGGGAATCCGAGAATACCTACTTTCAGCGACCGGCGTGCAAACGTATGTATGCACGCACGTAGATATGCTTATGATAGGATACGCACACCCAGGTGGGCTCGGCCTGCGGCCACCAGGACAACCACCGAGCCCCCGCAGACGTGGCACGACGCCTGGGCTCCTGGTCCACCCAGCGCACTCGAGGCCCTCTGCGGCGCCCCGGGATGGCCCGAGAAACGCACCGGGGCAGCCGGGAGGACCCCGATAGGCTTCGAGGGCAGTCCAGCAACGTGCAAGAGGTGCCCGAAGGCTCGTGAGTAACTCAATCATCTATACACATGTACATGTATATATACATATATATATATATATACTAGAACCACGCGCGCGCTTCGCGCGCGCTTAGGTTCTAGCTAGGAGGCGAGCTTGAGTCAACGAAAGTCGCAGGGAAGGGGGCAGGGGGAAGAAGGCCAGAGAGCGCTGAAGGATACAAATACTGGAACCCTCTTGTGATTTTGTGGGGGGCCTCGTCCGGCCGCTCGCTGGGAGTTTGACGTAGCTTCTCGGGAGCCTCTGAACCTGTCGGGGGCCTCCTGGAAGCAGGTTCGAAGCATTTTGTTTGGGGGCCGATTTGGGGCTTCTCGGGGCCTCCTTTGAGCCTCTTGGGGGTCTCCTGGGGCCTCTTGAGGGGCCTCCTTGGGGCCTCCTGGCGGCCTCTTGGGGCGGAAGGCTCGAGCTTGCGGTTCGTGGTCCCCCTCTGGGCCCCCTCTTGGGCCCGTCTTGGGGCCCTCTTGGGCCATCTTGGGCGCCTCTTGGGCCGTCTTGGGGCCCTCTTGGGCTGTCCTAGGGCCCTCTTGGAAGCTTCTTGGGCCGTCTTGGGGCGGTCTTGGAGGCCTCTTGGGCCGTCTTGGACGCGGTGAAAGCCCAAGATGCGAACATGCGAAAAATATACGTTTTCCCATAGGAATGGCACGATTTTTGTTTCTTGGACCTCTCTTGGGGTGCCTCTCGGAACGTCTTGGGCTGATTTTGGAAGCCTTTTGGCGCCTCTGGGCGGCGTTTTGGCGCCTCCTGGGATATGTTGGGCCGGAAGCTCGGAATTCGAGAGTGGCTTTCTCCTTCTGGGACCCCTCTCGAACTCGTCTTGGGGTTCTCTTGGGCCGTCTTGGGGCCGTCCTGAGCCACTCGTGCGCAGCCTTGGAGCGCTCCCGGAGGCCTCCTAGGCCGTCTTGGAGGCCTCTTGGGCCGTCTTGGACGCGGTGAAAGCCCAAGATGCGAACATGCGAAAAATATACGTTTTCCCATAGGAATGGCACGATTTTTACCTAACAGCGAAGACTGATAGTTTTCTAGTGGTCTCAAAAGAGCTCACAGATCACTCCACAGGGGGTCCGGGCAGGTGTTGGGGAGTTGCCGGGCGGCAGGTGCCGGGCTCGTTTTTCACCAACAGTCACACACTTCGTGCTCTTCGACTTCCCAGAACTCCATTCCCAGGCCACATTCTGAATACCCGGATGCAACAGTCACACACTTCGTGTTCTTCGAGATCCCAGAACGCCATTCCCGGGCCACATTTAGAATAACCAGATGCAACAGTCACACACTTTCGTGCTCTTCGACATCCCAGAACGCCATTCCCGGGCCACATTCTGGAGGGCCGGATGCAACAGTCACACACTTCGTGCTCTTCGAGTTCCCAGAATTCCATTCCCGGGCCACATTTTGGATGCCCGGAGCCAACTGTAGGCCACTTCCTGGTCTTCGAGTTCCCAGAACTACATTCCCGGGCCACATTTTGAATAGCCAGACGCTTCGTAGTCCTTCAGCCACAGCCGTGTTTGGTTCAGGAATTGCTAGTGACACTGCAGTCCACTGCATTCAATCGTGCCACTGCATTCACTCACTGCAGTCCACTCAGTTTCGATTGCAATGGCGTTCCCCTGGCCGTACCCCCATACCCAACGTTCATCCGCAGCCTCTGCTCCGCGAGGCTCGTCCGAAGTGTCGCCGCCTCGCGGTGCTTCTCAGCCTGCGCCGCCTCGCGGTGCTTCTCAGCCTGCGGAGGAAGGTGGACAGACGCCTGGCTCTGGCGCTGTGCAGCCTGCGTCTTTCACGGTCGCCTCGTTCAATTTCGGGTTCGAGCAGGGCATGATGACTGGTAAGCAGGCGGCCACTCACTGCGCTAACTTCGGAAGGTTGTGCGCCGCGATAGTGGAGACCGCTGATGCTGATATTGTCTGTGGCTGCGAGGTCGGTGCGTTCCGTGAAGGCTTTCGCCGAGCAGGGATCAACGTGACAGAGATCCTCAGTAAGCCTTTCGGTGATGGCATTCGCTTCTCGGAGGTCGACAACTACTTGACTCTCTGGGGGTTCCGCGGTGCTTCTCAGCCTGCGGAACTGACTCTGTGCGAAGACAGCAAAGTTTACAGGCCTCCTAGCGGCCGAGAGATTGATGCTGTTATTTCACATTTTGAGGTGAACAAACCAGGCCATGACAAGTTCCACGTGGTGATCGCCAACATGCACATCGTGTGCGGCAAGAAACCGCCGACCATCCAGACTCGAAAGCGGACAGTTCGCAATCTCCGCTTGCACCTGGACTGCCTGGGAAAGATTCTTGAGAATCTGAGCCAGGCAGTCGTTCTGCTTGTAGTCGGCGACGACAACCTCACTTTCCAGGAGGCGCGGGAGGCTTACCAGCGCCAGCAGAACGACGAGAAGCTCTGGGAGGTCCATGCCACTCCGGCCGACCTCAAAGGCGACCACGTCGCGGTCTGCGGAGCAGTCGCCCGTTTCTGCTCCATTGCCGTTGGCGCGTCTTTTACGGATCGTGGCATGCGCAACGACGCACACGATGCGGTGGCGGTTGTGCTCACTCTCCCTGGTGCTATTCAGCCTGGGGAGAGCAAGAGGCGGAAGATTGTCGTCGAAAACGTCTCCGACGCCGACGTCAGCGTACAGGCGGACGCCGAGTCTTCTGTGCATTGGGATCGGTCGCCGAGTTCTACTCCTCCGCTTTCACCGACTTCACCGGGTGATCCCGACTACGTCGAGGATGTCGTTCAGAATCGCGCGAACGACTTGCACAGGGAGCTGAGGCAGCTTTGGGACGACAGGTACGACGAGGAGTACGATCCGAAAGTCCTCCATCATCTCAGTCTCTTGCTTTTCAAAAAGAGGAAGTCCACGGAGCCAGCGGACACTGATCCAGCTGGCGCTCCTCAGCCTGGCTCGGAATATGACACGGCCTTTGCGTCTCAGGAGGAGACTGGCCGAGCCATTCTCTCTGTCCTTAAGCTTCGACATGACTTTCTGCGGAGCAAGAACATCGACGACATGCGCTACGTTCTCACGGAGCCTGAGCGCCAGGAATTGGTCAGAGTAGCTCGCGACCAGTACGAGCAGTCGCGGCAGCAGCGTGCGCTTCAGGAACGGGATGTCGAAAAGGGAAAAGCGAGAGGCAAGTCTGCGCCACAAGGGGGCCATGCGGTTCCGCAGGGTCCTAACAAAGGGCCAGGCGGTAAGAAAGGTTCTCACGGTGCTTCTCAGCCTGCGGGAAAAGGTGGCCAGGCCAAGGGTGCAGGTCTGGGTAGCGTCGCCAAGTTTGTGAAAGACCAGAAGCGTAAGCGGTGGCATCGCCATTTGCAACGTGTGGCCGGTACCAAACAGATCTGGGAGGTGCTGGCCTTCTCAGGGCGCTTCGACGTTGATTGGCTAACGCAAGCGTTGCAAGCTGATCACAGTGAGGGCCGTGATGCAGCAGTTCCCGAGGAAGCTCTGCGGCAACAGCGGCGCCGGCTGCACCACCAGAAGGCCGAGGCCATCGCGCGCTACAACGAGGGGGAGCGGCTTTCCCCGCCATCTGTCTGCCCAGGCTGGCCAGCCAAAGCCGAACTTCACGCGCAGGCAGCTGGACGTGTTGCAGATGTTTGAGAGCGGAGCGCTGCTTCAAATCCGCAACCAAGCGATTCTGGCGTTGGGGCACGGCCGTCTGTTCAGGGCCGATGGCGACTACCTGGACATCGGCGGCAGCACGGGCGGTGGCTCCAGGCGCATCATCGATTCTTGGCAGCCGCCGGACTGGCGTGACTTCCTCCAAGACGATCAGGACATCTGAGTTTTGCAAGTCTCCCTGCCCGCGGTGCTTCTCAGCCTGCGGTCTGCCGCTCTCCAGCTGCGGTCTCGAGCAGTAGTGTTCGAAAGCATGCGAGTTCCTGCGGTGCTTCTCAGCCTGCAGGTTTCGCAGCTTGCGCTCTGCAGTACAAGTGCTTTTCAGCATGCGACATCCTGCGGTGCTTCTCAGCCTGCAGGGTTCCCAACGTGCGGTTTGCAATGCATTCCTTTTCAGTATGCGAGTTCCTGCGGTGTTTCTCAGGCTGCAGGGCTCCGAGGCTCTTCGCTTCGATGCC